TCAATTGTTATTTAGAAAACATGATTTTTGAGTTATGGAATCCTATATTTTGATACCAAACCATTATGATTAATAAAAGGATGATTTCTTGGAATAAAGATGGTGTTTTAACAACTAAAAGGGATCTTATGTGATGCATGACGGTAAGCTAGGGTGTTAACACTCGATGCTAGGCCGCTGATTGTTATTAGTTATTATGATGATTGATTGATTGTTCATTTGATGAATATTCTGGATTAATGATGATGAATATTCTAGATGAAATGATTGTTGAACTAAGAATATGAATTGATGAATAATGTTGTTAAGGATATCTAGAAGAACTCTAAGATATATCCATATTGATGTTGGTTTCTAATACTATCTAGAAGACCTTTAAGATAGGTTAGAAATAGGCCTTGCGGGTATGATGCCCAATGGCTGGGGTTAAAACGTACGTACGGGATCCAAGAACCAAACTTGAGTACCTACTCGTTTGGGGGTACCACCCAACCCAACAGTGAACACTACGTTGTCGGTTTTTGGTTGACCTTAAGCGAAGGTAAATTTAAGATTGGAAAACACTTTTTAAAAATATATCTTAAACTAGGCCTAGCTTAAGGATTAGAATATCTTGAACTAGAATCAGTTTAAGAATGGAACTCGCCTTAGACTAAGCATAGTTTAAGGATATTGTTGAATATTGAATATTGAATATGAATATTGAATATTGAGATATTGAAATAAAAATATTGAGAATATCATGAATGAATTATATATTGTATGCATGATATCAAATGGTTGTTTGTGAATTTAAATTCAATTTATATGGATGTTCGACGCTTTAGATATGCTTACTCAGCTTCACCGCTAAGCGTGTAGTGTGTTTTATTTGCTACACGCAGGTAGGCAGAATGAATGATTGGCATGTTCCTGGCAGCGGAAGGGGCGAGACTGTCGTGGTGGAATTTGTGATTTTAAAATAAATAATTGTGTTGTTATTAAACATGGTTTAAATTGCTTCCGCGTTATTGTTCAATACTCCGTATTTTGCTACAGTTATGTATTAAATAATATTTATGAAGAATAAAAGTATTCGAAATGTTTTAAATTTTACGATTACCAAGCTAATACTTTAGTCCGGAAGGGGCTGCAGACCTGGACGGATTAGGGTGTTACAGGTTCTTTAAGTATTTCTTCATGTCTCTATGTGCTTGGAAAGATGGATGGGCTCACTGCATTCCAGTTTTGATTATTGATGGGTCATTCATGAAGTCATACTATAAAGGCATGCTTCTAACCGCTGTTGCACAGGATGGGAACAAACAAATATTCCCACTGGCCTTTGCCATTTATGATGCTGAAGACACTGCGAATTGGAAGTGGTTTTTAAAAAAGGTTAAAGAGGTCCTTGTAGCTCAAGAAGTGAAGTATATTGTGTCTGACCGCCATGATGGCATTATAAGTGCTGTGCAATCTGTTTTCCCAAACGTTATGCATGGACATTGTATATATCACATTCTTGGTAACATTAAGACGTCATTCCGTGGCTCTGCAAAAGCTGTTACATGGAAGTTTATTCGTGCTGCAAAGGCTGCAACTGTTCGTGAACGGAATTGGTATATGAAATTGTTAGATGAGGAGGATCCAGCCATTCAGCCATATCTAGCACGCATTGGATTTTCGAAGTGGTCTC